CATAATAGGGCATAATTATATATATATATGTGTGTGTAGTGAATATTGCATTTAAGTACTGAAAAACAATGGAATCTAAAAAACAATATTTTTTCATAATTTTTTTAACAGAAACTATCCACATTTATCAGTCTATATGTACATATGCATGTGTGTGTGTCGCTGTCCTAGAGATGTCCATGCATTGGGGGCTCGCTCAAGTAAACGGGACTGCTGAAGGATTTGCCAGCCACGAGCTCCTCGAGATTCTCACCCGCATAGCTGACGAATGGCGAAATCTCACAAATGTCGCCATGGACCGTACCGCCGGCTTTCTCAATGTATTTGCGGTGCAGGCGATGCAGGTCGTCGCGTGCTGTGCTCGGGCAGTCCTTGCCGGCGGAGTCGGCGTTCTTGAGGGCACTGAACTCTTCGTCACGTGGCACCTCCATTGCCACAAACTTTTCAGCAAATTCGAAGACGTCGAACACGAACTTCTCAATCTTAATGCCATTGGGCTGGTTGGGCGTCAGGCGATTGCCCGCGTTGTCCACAAAGGGTATCTTCTTCTTGGCCACATGAAGCTTCAGCTTACGCTCGTAGCTGCTGCCGATCTTTTGCAGAAAGGCTACAGTGAAGAAATGATTGCATATGTTCCCAGCGCTGTAGGTGAGACGTCCGTCTGCGTTGCGCATTTCGGCCGTCTTCTGGGAGATTTCACTGTACTCCACCACCTGGTACTTGTTGTCGACAATAGCCACCACGCCGACGGCCTCATTGGGCGACGACTTCTCCACCACCTTGGCGGCGCAGTCTGCCTGCTCCTGGACGCAATAGCCAATGAATATGGGATCAGCCACCTTGATCAAGATGTTGTCAACGCTATGTGCATGCACATAGAGTATGCCACGCCTCTTCATATCGTCCAACACACCCGCACGCTGCATAGCCCGGTAGATGCCTCCATTGCCATCTGGAGAGCGCGCGACGCGGTGCTTCTCATCTAGAATAATGCGTCCGTCATAGTCGAAGCATGGCAACGAGCCTTGCTCGAAGAGCATCACGTTCTCCACCAGCAGTCCGAAGTAGTTGTTGGCCTCCAAATAATTAAGCGTCGGCTGCATGGTGTGCTCCGACGTCATTATGTACCAGACAATGCGACCCCGTTGACCACACGCCTCTTCGGCCAGTTGCTCCAGCTTCAGGATTCTCTCCGCCTGTATGCGAAAGAGCGTCTTATGCGATTGCAAGCCCACATCGTACATGCCCTTGGGATGATCGAAGCCAAGTCGAGTGCCTAGATAGATCAAATTATTAACATATTTATAAATTTGTTCCAAAATCTTTAATATTGTTTTTCAAACGGTTTGCTGAAAATTCAAGTTTTAATGTTACCATCATTGCAACTATTGATTGATATGGTAGAATGTGCAATTCTATTTCAATGTTTAATTCCCAAATGTAATTGTATTCATTTAATCGATCATTTTAATACACAAATGGCATAAATTATAAATAACCAGATCTGATCTGCATCGTCTTTTGTTGTCTGTTGTTGCTGCGCGCCCAGCCGGTTGACCTTAAAAACTTGTTTCTTTTATTTCGGCTACGGTTTCGCTTTCAATACGAATTCGATGTTTTTTCTCTTTATATATTGTATCTTTTTGCTTCTTGTAGCTATTTAGCATTAAAACCTGTCATAAGGTCACTCGCATATAATACTACCGGTTTTTTAATCATAGCACGCTTATCGATTGGTTAGTGATTATTAGCAGCATTGTTATCGATAAATAAAGCAGCAGTGGGCTATGCGAATTCGGTTACAATTTTAACCGTTATACAATTACCATGACGTGAGAGAAATACGTAAGAATCAAGTGCACGTACATTTGTATGTACGTATCGATGTATGTATGTATGTATACATATACGTAGTAGCTATAACCAAATGCCAAGAGCCAGGCGAACGTTAATTTTTCGTCTCGCGGCATTCGTCTTTCACAGAAAAATTGTTATGGCTTGCAAACGTAATTACGTCATATCGCTTGCAGCGAGCAAAATTAAACATAACGGGAAATATCAAAACAATGATCAGCCGAAGTAGCAAGCAGCAAAAAAAGAAAGGGAATTCGCAGCAATAGCAGGAGGCTAACTGAAACAGGCTATTGGCTATTGGCTATTGGCTGGCTAAAAGAACGGCTGCAATTAATAGTGCTCTATGCTGCTTTGTCTGACTGGAATGGCGTGTCTTGCGAGCTGAATAACAAATTATAAGTGAGAGCAACAACAACAACAACTACAGATGCACGAGTGGGCAGCAGAAGCAGGCGCTCAAGTGTATGTGTGCGTCTGTGTGTATGCATTTATTTCCCAGTGTGTTTGTGTGTGGCATGTTTAATGAAGCATTTTTTATATCAATCTAATTAGCTGTATATTTACATGCACACAATTATATATGTATACACACACACACGTGCACTCGCACGTCTGCATAGTCTTTCCGTTCCAGCCTCGCCCATCCCCCTCCCCTAGATTTCTGCATCTCTTGGCAATCGCAAGCAAAACTACAAAATCACTAATTTATTTAGTAATGCAATTTTGTATTTTTTTTTTCATGTAGTTTCCGGTCGAGTCATGTTTAAGTATTTTCACAAGGATAGCATAATACTTGTGAAATGATTAGTAAGAAAATGTCCTATTGCTTGTTAAATTGCTGCCACAATTGAAATGAATGTGCATCAAAGTTGCATAAAGTACTGCAGTGTAATATGTGTACATACATACCTACATAATTTAACATGAGTATAAAATAAAAGAGTGATGCAATATGCTAGCTGAAATATTGAAATTGCTGCACTTACATGCGCATGTACATACATACATACGTATGTGTACATACATACATATACAAAGCACAAGCAGCCGGCACCACGGTTAAGTTCAGCTTATATGTATGTGTGTGCGTCCCAAGATCAGTTTAGAGAGTGAGACAAAAATTTCCTTTTTTGAATTGCATGAGAGTTGCGTAGAGTTGCGGAAATTCCACAAATATTTCCCTTTTGGCGAAGTCTTTTTAGCTGATTGCATATGTACATACATACATACATACACAATGCATGTACTCAAAAACAATTCCTATGTAGATCGCTATCATTTTTGCAAGACAACAACCCAATATTAATCAATCAATTTTTCCAAACTTTCGATTCACTTTCTTTTAGTTTTTAGCTATTTGTATATTGCCACTCACCTTGTCCACCCGCCATGAGCAGCACAGCGACATGACCTTTTGCAATCTGTTGCAATCCGATCTTCCGATAGGCGTTCAATTTCTCCGGCGAAGTGCGAGCTATGGACAGTATCTGGTCTTCGGGCATGGGCTGCATGCGGCTGTCCAGTTTAATGCCATTCGCATTCATTGAGATGGTGGCACGTTCCCAATTGGGTTTGATCTCATCAAAGTCGAGCTCATCTAAGTCGCGCAGCAGTTGGAGGCGTTTGTCCGGCGTCAGCTCATCAAAAAACTTAAGTAAATGCTCCTGCCTCACCTGGGCGAGTCGTATTTGCTGCTTTTTCAGGTGATCTGTCATTGTTGTTGCTGTCGGCTTGTTGGCTGTTCACAGAAAGAGAGAGAGAGAGAAGTAGAGGAAGGAGGGAAAGAGAGAGTGGACGTGGAGAATGGAGAATGGAGAGTGACAATTAGATAGCGAATGTTGAATTTATATATTTTGTTAATGAAGTAGTGTGATTCTTGTATCGTTGTCTAACTTTTTATTTCTTTTATTTTGTGTTTGTTCAACGCGATAAATTAATTTATTTTATGTTGATAATGACGATAGGTGAGAGTAAACCGAACCGTTATGTGCGGCGAACAGTGCGCAACTGAACACCATTCGCACGCCCTCAGTGGTTTTTCTTGGATGGCGACTGCGACGCCAACAGCGGCAGCGACGTGGACTTCGAAGCTGCTGCTTGAATGGCAGGCGCGCATGTGTGTAAACAAGTTGAATGTATCCAAGCGTGTGTGTGTGTGTGTGTGTGTGTGTGTCCGAGAGTGTTTTGACGTGTTTACAGTCATATATTGAAATGGTCGTTAGGGCTATATTTATATATATACACCTATATATTTACACCTATATATTTACACATATGTACATACATAAGTATATGTGTATGTCTGCACATAATATTTGCAGTACATAAATAAAAAACTAATTAAATGAATATGGTGTACATACATATATATTAATGAATTACATTCTGATCGACATTTCTGTATATCATAATATCTATGTATGTACACCCATTATACGGAAGCTTATTAGCATTATAGCTAAACAATATATTTACAACGTCAACAGATATCAATATGTGATAACTAATCTGATCGGCTGATGTTTATAGCCAAAAGTACAGAGAGCCATTAGATTCATGTTATTTGATATATTCTCTAAATAAGTTATCGCATTTCACATACATACATACATACATATTTTAATAATATTCTTTCCGCTTGGTACGCTCATATTATGCATTTTTATTTACACTAGGAATTTTTTGGCAGCTGCCTCATATTTCCTATAAGATCGAGCTGAAACATTTGCTGTAAAATTGCAATTGCTATAGCAAATGACCCTGACTAAAGTGAAAGTATTTGCCGATTGGCTTAAACAAAGAACCAGAAATACTTAAGGGCAAGCCACAAACATAAATACACATGTATGCATATAATATGTATGCATGTGTTACTTATAGTAGCACTAGCCTAGTTTCAGTTACAATTCCAGTTTGAGTTCCAGTTGGGAGTTCCTGCTCAGCACAAAAAAAACTGGTTTCATTCTGTGCGAAACGAGAGTGAAGAGAGCATGAGAGGGCAAGAAGAAAATGACATTTACATAAATTCGCCTAAGAATTGTCGAAAAGCAAGTTGATTTTGTATATACAGCTATTGTTGTTTTACTTATTGTTGCCACGACGTTGACGTCGTCGTCGTCGCCGCCGACGGCGACTGCATTACACGTTGGCAATAAACCGCAACGGTCACCAACACACTTAAACACCGTGCGGGCTGAGCAATGCGAGCACCAACACAACCACGCACACACCCTCACAGACGCATGTATGTACGTCTGTTTCGATAAGATGTTTTGTTTATACTGCGGACCGGGGCGAGCCTGCTCGCTCTTTTTTTTATTCGCCAGACTTTCCTTAGATAGCTAGGGCATTTTTCTTATCAGAATGGAATTTGAAACTTACCATTTCGGAAATGTGAATGCCTATGTTGTTGTTGCTGTTGCGCATTGAAGTTACTGTTGAGACCCATGTTTTTCTTTAGCGAAATGCAAAAAAAAAGAACAAATTTGCATGCGTTATGCACACACTTATTTACTGATTTCACTGGCCACTTGTTTTCAACGGAACATTTTATTGTTATTATT